GGATTCATATCGGTATCGGCCGATATCCAAATTTATGATATCGGTATCGGACATAAAAAAAACTGGTATCGTGCCATCTGTAGTTCATACAATCTGCCCTCGTGAGTCAGTCGCCGCTAAACATTGACCCTGGAGCTCTGTGTTCATGTTTGACCCTTTTGTGCCCTCCACAAAAAAAAATGTGCACACACAAAATTGCCATAAACTCCTCATACGACTATTTTCTTTTTTTTCATAAATCACTTAATGACTTGGAGACCTTTTCAAAATGATAAAACATTAAATTATTTTCACTATTTAATCATTTAAATGCCAATTTAAACATTTGAATTAAGTATTTATTACAATAATTCACAAAAACAATTCTTTTCCTGGATAGCCTGAGTATTACTTCATAGTTCATATGTTCTGTTATATTTATCTTTTGTTGTTGAAGTTTGCATAATAACTGTTTCCACTGATGACTCAGATCTTGATTAGAAAATGGTTTCAGACACACAAATCACTCTGGGGCCTCCATGGTGGTCTCACGGCTCCATCGTATAACTTGCAGTAATACAAGTGTCATGCATTGGCCTACAACAGGAAAAAGGTTGAATCCGGGCAAATAGAGTAAAAATGTCAAATATCACGACTATTCTTCAAAATAAAATGCTGACATTACAGAATGCATGGTTTTATACTGTAGTGGCAGAGAGATTAAACATGTGGTTTCAATGGAAATAAATGTGGCGTTTTTTGTCCAAAAGGTGTCGAGAGGCAAAAGATTTTCTCCAAGACTCTAATCAGCAGGGCTGGGCAATCTCAGAACTCGGGGGCCGGTGTCCCTGCAGGTTTTAGATGTGTCCTCGAACCAACACAGCTGATTTAAATGGCTAAATTAGCTCCTCAACATGTCCTGAAGTTCTCCAGAGGCCTGGTAACGAACTAATCGTGTGATTCAGGTGTGTTGACCCAGGGTGAGATCTAAAGCCTGCAGGGACACCGGCCCTCGAGGCCTGAGATTGCCCAGCCCTGCTCTAATCACTAGGGCTGGGCATCGTCACTGATTTCTAGAACCGATTCGATTTGAATCTGGGAAGTTTTGACTGAAACAGTCAGAAATGTTTTAATTGTGATCATTCAGTACTAATTCGTCAGGTCTGCGCTTTGTGTTTATATCTTTGTGCTCTCATTTGCTGTTTTAGCTGTTTGGTGGTTGTTGAAACAGTTTTGTGAACTTTAACCTGAGATTCTGGCAAAATACATTTATATTTAAAAATCGATTCAGGATTTAATGAATCGATATCACTTTAAAGATAAAATCGATGTGAATTGATAAATCAATTATTGAAACCCACCCCTACTAATCACCACCGATGTCCCCCATACTATTTATTATATGGAAAATGACTGTTTTTCTGTGAGTGGTTGCCATAAATAATGAATAATTAAAAGGTCTAAACTGGCATTTCTAGGGTTGAAATCCTAAAAATGGTTTGTTTTGATCAAACGGCTCATGTTGTGTGTGTCATGTGTTTCTGCGTCTATCCTGCAGGGGGCACTGCAAAGCTGAAGTTGCGCGCTCATCCTGAAGGTTCAGCCAGTGGTTTCACCACGGTCCAGATCCCTGTCACGCTGACCCTTCACAGTCCTGCAGGGATCCAGTACATCAGCACCACTGCCTCTCTGAGTGCCTCCCCTGCTCCTGCCCCCACACCCATCATCACAGGTAATCCCTCCGCCAGCAGATGTGGAGCAGTTCAGGTGTTCCTCAGGCTAACGCAGACTCTCTGTGCTCCAGGCGTGATCTGTGGTGAAGCAGCTCAGAAGGTTCTGATCGACCACAACGTGAACTTCAACCCTCCGACCGGGTTAAAGAATCAACATTCTGCTGCGGCATCACCATTCACCTCATCACAGGCCACGCCCCCCCCAGCACCTGGCAGGACCAAAAAGCGTCCGAGCAGCAGATCTGCAGCACCGCACACACTGCTGCACAAAGGTTTGACAACTCGTCTGTGTGCTCAAGTCTGCAGAGATGATAGAGAGCAAGCCAAATAAATCCCGTCGTACCTCAGTATGTAGGCGGTTTGAACTCATCGCCATGACTCTAAGCAAGACGAGACCATACAGAGTTAGAACATTTAAATTTCAGCCCCAGTTTGAATTCAGTGATCATAAAAGCTGTATCATCTGGGTAAAACTGCTCGTTTACCCCTATTTTTACTACAGATGCTTGTAAATCAAGTGAAGTCATTCTGTGTACGTACAGTAAGTAAAACCTCAGTGTTCAGCTTAATCCAACATGACCAAAGAGTTAACTAGTACTAGATGTCAGGGTTCACTTCCTTTATTCATCATACAGTGTTCCTAGTTTGTCCTTGTTTTTGATCTTCTTTGGTTTGGTTTTTATGTTGTTAGCGGTTGTTCTTACAGAAAGGAAGCCCGTAAGAGTTTAACTCATATTAATAATGATAATGATAATGATAATAATAATAATAATAATAATAATAATAATGATGATGATGATGATGATGATGATAATGATAATGATGATAATGGAGTGGATTTATATAGCGCTTTTCAAGGCACCCAAAGCGCTTTACAATGCCACTATTCATTCACTCTCTAATTCACACACTGGTGGAGGCAGCTACAGTTGTAGCCACAGCTGCCCTGGGGCAGACTGACAGAAGCGAGGCTGCCATATCGCGCCATCGGCCCCTCTGACCACCACCAGTAGGCGGCAGGGTAAACTGTCTTGCCCAAGGACACAACGACCAGGACAGAGAGCCCGGGGATCGAACTGGCGACCTTCCGGTTACAGATACGCTTCCCAACCCAGTATTTCTGTACTAGTCTCTTGCGGTAAATGTCAGTGTCACAGGGTCAGCTTCCTGTTTCTACAGAAAACTGTGTCTGGTGAAATATGTGTAACATAACATTTGAAGCATAATCGAATAAAACAATAAAAACTCCCTAACATAGTAAAAGAAAGTTCTTAACTTTAAAGTTAGGTCCTGATCACATACCTCTGAAGATTACGGTACCTCCGTCTCTCAGTCCTGTGATCTGATTGGTCAGTTGTCAGGCTGTCAGTAGACCTTTACCTGCACCGTTAGGTTACCATGGTGATTTAGTCAGCTTCATTATTGATAAAAAGCTGACACAAACCCAAAGATGACCCCTAACCCTGTGATAAGACTTCGTGATTCAGACTCGGATGAAGATGTGGACGTAGGTGAAGACACAGGTGTGAGGGAACACGGATGCTGAGGAATGAGGTTAGGACTCAGGTGAGGTGGGGGCTTCAGCTCTGAGTGCTGTTATCGTGGACTCAGGGCTGTGGTTAGGGTTCAGGTGAGGTGGACTGTGTTGTAAAGGATTCAGGTGCAGGTCTGCTAGGTTGGAATTCTGCTAAGGTGTAGACTTGGATATGTGCTCAGCTGTCGTGTCCCCCCTCAGGTGAGTTGGGTCCCGTGCGCCCCCCCGACTGCCTCGTCTGCACATCGCAGTACAAATTGATCACAGAGCTGCGAGGATTCATGTGTGTAAGTCCTGCACAGCCACCTCTTTACACCTCTACCTGTGTCATCACACAGCCTGATTAAAACCCTCTTCCCCATCTTCAGATGTGCAGCCCAGCCATCATGCAGAGTCTGAGGAACCTGAAGAGGAAGAAGAAAAGCAAACACCACAGGGGGAGCAGGGACAAAATCAGAACCCTGAAACCCAGCAGAGACTCTCAAACCAACAGTAGGGTGTCCAAAACCAGACCAGGACCCTCTGCTGTGAGTTCACACTGCTGATCAATGAGGATCTACTCCAAGAGAGTCGCGCGATGAACCTTTGTCATGTCATGTGACGTCATTCTCCTTCCTGTGTGTCTCCTTAGTCTAAAGGTGTTTCTCCTTCTCAGAGGGCTCACTGGTCATCTGGTGATCTCCTGACCAGTCAGGTTAGCGCCTCCGCCTCCCTTCCGTCCCTCTGCGACCCTTCTGAGCCAGATCTGTTTGGATCCCTGCCCAGCTCGCCTCACGGCAAACTCGTGATCCTTGTGGAGGATTTTTATTATGGCTCCGCCCCCGGACAACACCCTAAGAAATGCAACCTGATGGGCGCAAAGTACAGCGAGCCATACCGCTGCATCCACTGCCCCAAGACGCTCGACAACAACATCGAGTGAGCCTCTGGAGATTGTCTTAAACCTGCCTTCTATTAAATGAGCAGCAGGATGTGCCTCCTGTGCTTATACAAAAAGAGAATGGGCCATTCTCATGAATTCATGCTCTCCTATTGAATATAGCGTGACATGATCTCAAGTCATTAGATGTTTGGTTTGTGTCTTCAGTTGTGACTCTTTGTATATGTTGCAGGTTGATGAGTCACATGCAGCAGCATGTGTCCATGATATTTCAGTGGGACTCTGCGTTCTCGTGTCCACACTGTTCCCGTCACTTCCTGTCTGCTGGGAAGCTGCAGAGTCACGTGGAGGCTGTCCACAATCAGTGCGAGTCCAAAGGTCTGTGACAGCATAACCGGTTACCCTTTGGTTGGTTAGCGGTTACAGGATGGCCTGCTGATCTCGAGTGCTTCCCACTGTAAAAAGGATGCTTCAGGTTTGTGTGTTTGTCATGCAGTGATGGATTTGTTTCTCGTTTGCCTTCGCAGCCACGTGTAGGATCTGCGAGCTGGCATTTGAAAGTGAACCTGCTTTCCTGTGGCACATGAAGACCACCCACAAACCGGGAGAGATGCCCTACATCTGCCAGGTTCGACTCCGAGCACCAGAAAGCTGCCCTCACCTTCGTCAGTGCTCGTTGTGGCCCGAGAGTTTACGTGCCCCGCTTTCTGTCTGCAGGAGTGTGGCTTCAGGTCGTCCTTCTACTCAGATGTGTGGTTCCACTTTGAGGAGTGTCACACCAGCACCAGAAACTTTATGTGTCAATACTGCCTCAGAGTGTTGCGCCGCAACACCTGCTACCAGCAGCACTTTATCCGCCACCAGGTAGGTAACTGCTGCAGGTAATACAGCTAAAGGGTTTAACTTAGAAGAACTGCGAGAGTTGAAGTGAAGGTTAAAATGTGTTACGCAGTTAAATCAAAGGAAATCTAAAGCACAGAGAGGTTTTCTGGAACTACCATTGTTAAGATGTGTGTGTCCTACTGCGCTAGTGTCCAGTGGGGGTGGGGCATGGCTACGCAGAGGCGGGAAAGGGGCAGTAGAAGTTTGGAATGTCAGGTTTTCTGTGGTTGTAAGAAAGAAGGCGACCATTAAAGTAGGGGTGGGCGGTATAAACGCTATACGGTAGAAACGGTATAAATTTGGCCAGCGGTCGAGATTTTGACTATACCGCTCTAAGCTGCGCCTGTTTTGGTCAAAAGCATTGCAGCAGCTAAAAACATCATCTGCAAAATATTCCAGGCGACAGTCACAGCAAAGAGACGAAGCACTTTTGAAATATGGGGAAAGCCAAAAACTGCGCTTCCTCCACTTCTGTACCATTGATTCAGTAAAGTTGAATTCTCTCACAGCTGCTCTGTTCCCATGTTGTTGCAGTATATTAATGACTAACCTCGTATTGTGGATGGATTATCTCAGTTGAAGTTTGGTCCGTTTACAGCATCCTGCTATGTGACTGCATTTGTCCCTGACCATCAGGAACCCTCACATTAACTTTTATTGAGTGGAAAAAAGTTAGCGTTCATCCTCCAGCTTCATTGTGCTAATGTTATGCTAACATAGCTGTGTCGCTAGCAATCACGTAGCCCAACTTCAGTAACCCTACAAACGTCACTGCTGTTTAGTTTCTGTCTTCATTTATGTTGGAAGTGATAGCAGAGCTGTACGTTTGAATGTTTCAGAAACCTCTCAGTCAGAACATGTATGAAATGTTTAGGTGGAAGCTAGCGAGCTAACTTCCTGTTAACTTCTAACTCCATTAAATTTAATAATGGATGCCTGAATGTTAAACTTAATTGTTTCACCTGGTAAAGCAGCAACACTCATCATTTTATTAAAGATGAAAGAATTTAGACAGTTTTTAACTCTCAGTGATGCTGCAGTGTTCGTTTGACTTTGGGACCTGAAATGGACGGAGTTTAGGACCCAGATTACTCCGTGAGGCTCCTGACTACGGCAGCCATAATGCTCCAACAATCCATCAAGCGGTGCGGCTTCGTAGCTTCGTATTTCTGTGCGCCGTGTACATAAAATCAGTTCGAGGTCAGTAAGCACAACCAGAATTCATACATAAGGCACACTGTCGATTTTTGAGAAAATTAAAGGATTTCAAGTCCTTATAGTGAGGAAAATACGTTATACAGAAGAAAAGAATATATCGTTACCGCACATGCTTCAAATTATACCGTGATATGGATTTTAGGCCATATCGCCCAGCCCTACATTAAAGTTGGAGTTACTATGCCAGTTGTGTGATTATTGGACTAACACCATGATGACGTGGGTCCTTGGGTAGAGAGATTTCCAAAGGGTTGGTCTAGACTCTGAAACTCCACGTTCCAGGGTTTTTAGCCTGGAGATGTAGAGAGGAAGGAGACCAGTGAGTGAGTTAGGAGGAACACCATCGCTGTCCTTGTAGTTGATATATCCCCGTTTCTCCTGGAACATCCAAATGTTCTTCCAGACCACATAAGACCACATAGGATATAATCCCTCCAGTAGGTTCTAGGATCTCGTCCTGCAGATAAACCTCTGTAACCTTGTCTGGCTTCACAGATATGCGAGCAGGGAGCCAGGAGTCCAATTCCCTCAATGTAACGTCTCTCTTATGTGAGCACACACAGAGCCTGAAACAGGAAGCCCGGCTTAACAGAGAAAGCTGACATCCACTGGTGCGATGCCCGTTATCCCTGACTGGGGTTTTAGGTTAATGCAAAGAAAGCCTGGCTTTGTTGAACTGGACAGATACCAGCTTTTGTTTTTGGAGCTAAAGTCTGAGGTACTGAGGGTTTGGAGAGGACCGAAGAGGAACGGGCTTGTTGTAAAGCAATGTATCATCTGCACTGAGGTGGAGTTTAATTCTGTGTGTTGGTGCATGTTTGCAGAAGAAGCGCGAGTTTGGCTGTGATAAATGTCGTCTCCACTTCCTGTACATAAAAGAGCTGGTTGAGCACAGAGTTCTGTATCACAGGACGCACATCAGACCACCTCAGCTCAGCGGACTCAAACCTGGAACCAAGGTAGACCTCACACACCTGTCCACAGCACACATGGCACACATGGCCCAGATTTGATCATTATTAGTGTAAAAAAATGAGGAAAATATCCTTCGATAATTAATAAAGATAATTAAACTCCTTAAAGATAATTAAACTCCTGCTGGAGAAGCCTCACCTTTACTGAGTATCTCTCTGTCTGCAGGTGACGGTCAGGGCGTATTCTGTGGTTGGGGAATCTGAAGGTGAAGGACCTAAGACAACTGTTGCTTCATGCAAGGTGAGCAGCATGGAAACGCTCATCGCCTGAGCTTTCAGATCCAGATCATCTGCTCTGCCATCCAAGACCATTTTTTAGTTCGTTCCTGTTTAGAGACAGAAAATCAACCAAAAGGTGGTTGGTTTGTTTAGAAACAGCTGACACGTTAACACAGACGCACTGTATGGTAAGTGCAAAGATGTTAGAATAAATCATTTGTTGCAGAAAGTGGAGAAAGCTGGAAATTAGCCACTTGTTAGCCCCAGAACCTCATCTCTGCTCTTTGTGGTTCTATTCGCTTCGAGTGACGGCCTCCAGCTCGCACTGCAGCAGGAAAGAGATTCAGCGCCTCCAATTAGGGCTGAGCGATATGTTGAATATACTCGATGTATCAGGAGTTTTTCCATGTACAATGGTTGAAATGGCTTTATGGTAATAATAGAGTATAAATTGCCATGGTAACATTTGGATGTCTCAGGGCTCTAGACTAACCTTTTGCCATGGTTGCACTGGTGCGCCTAAAAATAAAATTTAGGCGCACCAGCACAAAATTTAGGCGTACCAGCACAAAAGTTAGGCGTACCCAAATTTTTTAACTGCATTACTTAACACCGCAGTTTTACATGTTCACGTTTTTTTTGATTTGTAAATGATTAACTAACAACCTTTCAAAATGATTAACTTGACACCCCCTTTGCTGCCCAAATTAACAGCAGCTCCATCAGCCCCCATAGCAATGATTTTATCCAACCAGTTACTGCACTGGTCCCCAAGAGCAGCAAATGCTTTCTTTGAGGCAGCATAAATTCCTTAACCAATTTAAAAAAAAACCATTTACTTATCAGATCAAGAGTTTACAATGCAGTCTTTTTCAGTTTGAGTTTCTATATTCATGTATTATTGCTATGTTTAATTTTCAATGATAAGAATATGCTAGATATGGTTAATTCAGTAACACGACGTAATATTATTAATCATATACATAGGCTACGTGACATGACATGGCTTACCTTGGGCATGGGCATGCTCAACCTCAATGTGTCCAATCAGTATATTCGCTGGTCTTCCTTTTTGCAAGATACGAGCGTACACAATGACACATTCTTTTGTGGCGATGTCTGTGTCTCCATCGATCAGGAAGGCCATGTATGTACTGTTCGCAATTTCCACTGACGTCTTTTTTTTCACTGTGTCAGCGATTACGCCTATAAACTGGGCGCACGCAACATCATTGCTGTATGTGGGGTTTATGTCCAAGCCATTTTTCCTGTGAAGAGTTATTTCTGACTTGAACTTAGTAAACGGAACTTCTTCTTTTGCAATATTGTAGGCGATGTTAAACTTAATGATCATCTCGGCCTCCTCCGATGACCTGTTTACTCCTGCCTGCCGCTGAAAGGCAGTGGGGAGCGGCATTTATCGCGGCATATAATGTGTCTTCTCGATGCTGTATGCTTTTTCAGTGTTTCAATTCGAAACGTATTAGCACCAGTGACAAATGCTGTGTTGCCGGCCATGGTCTTTCCACACTCGCGACAATAAATGCAGTGCATCATATTGTCAGCTTGGCTGTATCTTAGCCAGGGAAACTGGTCAAGCCACTCGATTCGAAATCTATACATTTTCTCACTTTTACTTTCAGTGGACTCCGGCTGGGAGTCGATCGTATGTGGCTCATTTTCTGATGCCGTCTCCGGACCAGTGTTTGACAAAAACAGAGAGATTGATGGCTCCGTGTCAGAGCGCTGGCTCAGAATTTTGGACTGATCAGGCCTTAACTTAACGAAAAAGTTATCAATTGTTCTTTTCATATTTTCTCAATACCAACTTCATACACTTCTGACCTGGGCTACTCACCCTTCTCTATCTGCCCGCACTTTCAAACGTAAACACAAGTAGGTCTGCAGGAATATCTGGACCACGGCCAATCACAGAGGTCCCCGCCTCTGAGTATCTCTGATTGGTTTAGAACACGACATGGGCATAATGTGTGTCTGTTGTTGAACACACAGGGTTGCTGAAACTTTTTTTTTCCGAGAAAATACTTGGTTGCGACCAAGTTTTTTTTTTTTTTACTTGGTCGCACCATGGAGAAATTTGGTCGCACTCTAGAGCCCTGTGTCTATATGTTTGTTTGCTCCCCACACGCTGTAAGATAAGATAAGATAACCTTTATTAGTCCCACACGTGGGAAATTTGTTTTGTCACAGCAGGAAGTGGACAGTGCAAAAGTTATGAGGCAAAAATTAGAATACAATAAGAATAAATACAGTACACAACTGTACAGAATAGAATAAAATAAAATACTATATACAGTAGAATAAAATAAATATACAATAAGATAAGAATAGAATACAAATACAAATACTATATACAACTGAGTAAAAATACAACGATGACAGAAAGGATTATTGCA